GTGCCCTAGTTACCACAACACCATTTAAATACTAATTGCTTCCTACTTAATTTTCAAAGAGAGGATATAAGCTGTATAACTAGTTGGTGTGATATTAAAGGTTATTGCTGTTGTAATGTTTAGTATCTTTAGTGTTGATAAATGAGCTAATAATGTAATTCTTCTCCAGAGATAGAACTTAAGTAAGGACTGATAAAAAAGATAAATGAAAATGTTAAGAGTGAAGAAATACATTAAGACTACTAGATTTCATATTCTAAACCAGAATATCATAGTATTTACTCTCAAAAGCAAGACGATAATGCTGAATACAGCTTAAAAATTACTCCACCTTTTGATACCTCTTAAAATGATAATAAGCATGAACAACAAATTTACTAACATCCCAGTATATAAAATTCTTAAAATGAAAAAATTAAAGCAGAGCCTAGAACAAATTTTTGGTTTTGGTTCTTCTCACTGAGCGCTTGCTTATCTTTTACAGGTTCAAATATTCTAAGAAATCATCAGTCTCAAAATGTTATGGTTAATACCTTTATCTTTAATTGTGCTTATTTTGGTGGGAGTGTTCTGTATTTTTTCCTGAGTTACCGATAGAGTAAAAAGTACAATTAGTAGTTTATTTTAGCATATTATCAGACTATAGATTCGCTTAATCGAACTATTCGACCATAGTTTAGTCTAAAGATTTTACTCTTACTTATACTTGGAGGTTCATTTGAGTATTTAGGATCTCAAATGATAGTTTTAAGTTTCAAATATGCTTCATTAGCAAATGTTAACTAAGGAATATGTAGTGCCCTTGTTTCGACTAACACCATTTACATACTAATTGCTTCCTACTTCATTTTCAAAGAGAGGATATAAACTGTATAACTAGTTGGTGTGATATTAATGGTTATAGCTGTTTTAATGGTAAGTATCTTTAGAGTTGATAAATAAATCTAAAGTCAGGACATTGAAGATGAAAATAGTTCAAAAGACATATTCTTAATGATAATTGGCGGCTTAATCGCTTCCATTATGTTTGGAAGTCAACTTTTAATGTTCAAAAAGATTACATAGTACAATAATGACTTATTTGGAGTAGCCTTTTCTCTTTTATTTTTTTCATCTATATGGGCTATAATATCTTTCATCTACATGTTTTTAACAGACGTAGAGTAATTTTTTATGCTCAATTTTGTGCAATATTTGACATGCTTTTTAAGTGGCTTGCTATTAACTATTGCGATTGTATTTTTAAATGTATCCAGTAGCTATGGTCTTATTGGAATAAGCAATGCTATTGTCCATAACTAAGTTATTCTACTCTCGCTTTTTAATTACGTAGTTTATGATTAAGATCTAAGTTTTGGCCAGGCAATCGGTATCGGAATATGTGTGATAGGTGCAATTTTGATTACAAATGGTGATAGAATGACTTGCTTTAACAAGAAAAAATGAGAGATTAATTAAATTAAGCAAGGCGAGTCATGCTCGTTAATTAATTATCAAATAGAAATTAAATAAAAAATTA